CGTCAATATGAATTGTTGGAAAGATAAACAGTACCTTTATTCCAGTACCTTTAGATGTTATCAACAAATGTCACGATGCAGCGCTAACTAAACAAACGGACGACGACTGCATACCAAAGACTCTTGAACATACAAAGCAGAAGAACATGCCAGAGTTAGTTTTGATTCCTATGGTCTTTCACATTACATACAGTCCAGAAGTGGTCATTGCACAAAGGAGTACACACTGTCGACCGGTGCTACTTTTCCGAATCGACAGCTCTTAAGTGGATAACTGTCTGTTTTTACTGCTTCGCTGCATAGAGCGGAAAAGACCACTGTCGAGTGATAAAATCCAGATTTCAGATCAGAAAGATTCAGGTAGATAAGACTGCCGTCGAGTAGGTGTGCTCTGCCCGTTATTGTGCGTCATTGCAATTCAACAGAGTCGTCCAACTATCGCTAAATCTTATATAATAGATATAACATTGAAAACCAATACAATACTTACTTATTCAAGCTTACCCTACATGTGGGATTCTAACTAAGACACAATTTTAGTGCTCGTAGCTGTCTGAGAGCTCGCAGAAACTTTCATGTAGATCGGATAAAAGTGAATTTTTCAATTTTTAACTTCTGCCCTACTGTAGCTTCTTCTTAATTCGCTAGAAAGATCATGAAAGGATCCCTTTATAAGGGAAAGAAGAGGAAGGACTATGCAATTACAAAGAAATTATTTTGGTCCTGTTGTAGGTGCTTAGTTAATTAAAGCAAGATTTCATATAAAAGATTTTGTAAGGGAAAGCATGCAACTTTCTTTCTCATTTCTTCTTTTCTTTATTGACAACAAAAACATACCAACTCGAAAGCACAAAAATTCACAAATTAAATCATCCTCACAAAACCCATTTAATTGAATAATCGCCTCATCAAACCTTCTTGTTGCTGTTTGTCTTTCTCGTGCACTCCCTCTTCCTGAAGAGTAAATGCTTGCACTACAAATGAAATTAACATGTCTTCCTCAAACCTAAAGCTTTCCGGCTACTACATCTACTTTCTGCATGTCATAAATATGTTTTAAACATGAATTATAATAACATGTATAATATATAAAGATGTCAGTAGAAAAATTTAATTAAGTAATTTACAAGTTCATTTTTCTGTGTGCACAATTGTTTAACACATACGTTTAAATATTAACATGTTTTTTAACATGCCATAAAGTACTTGTATTACTTTCTTCAATTAATTTGCACTCCTTCTTTTACTTAACTACTATCTATTGTTGGAGGCAGCTTTACTTAGTTTAGTAGAACGACAGCATTTGGTGGTGGATGGTGGAGTCAATTTGTGATTCTATCCAGGAGTCAAGCATATGTTAATGGTTTCGTAAAATTTCTGCACGTTCATATTCCGGCGGCGGCTGACGGGAAAGCCGGTATTGAAACTTATTGTCCGCAATGGCTCCTTGTACATGCGTGTCGACAGGTATTGTGCACTACTCACCGAAAGTCTATTCTATTGCTTTGCTAATGAGACAGCAACTGGGCAGCTCATTTCATCAAGATTTTTCATCAGCAGGACGTATCATATTTTGGAATTATCCGTCAGGCAGCTCTCAATAATCTCGAATTAATTATGTTTGGATTTCTTTCACGTTTCGATGTTGCAGTTGGATTCAGTTTCTACACCACCTTGTTTGAAGTAACAGGACCATTTTAACATGCAAGTTGTTTCTGCTATCACCTATCCTTTAAGAGAAAGTTCATTATTAAATCGAATTGTTACTTGCGCGCTTCGTTTTAAGTATAAACGAAAGGAGGGTCGAAGGATAGGTCAACTAGAGCCGCGTCCAGTTTCCACCTCTCTTAGGGAACCCATTTTTCAAAGGGCATTGTTGGATTTTACACATTCTCTCTTTAACTTCACATACTCCGCAATGAACCGTGAGTCTGCAACCATCAGTTGCCCAAATGCATTGTTACTTTGTACTTGTACCATTTGGCGTTCGGAAGCGTCCATTACTCGTAAGTTGTTTGTATGGTTCTCGTAAATACTTACAACAAAGATTGAATAAAGTCATTCCAAAGCGAATAAGTAAAGATTAGTAGTGGAGAGTATACGCTGAATTGCAAAACTTTGTCTTACACACTTTACATTGAAGACGAATTCCTTATGGTTCTTCTCCATCATCTGTCTTTTGGATCTTGTGATTCTTTTACATAATTTTTTCATTGTTGACATACAAAATTTTTTTGAAAATTACACGTAAAGTTGGAGAAATAAATACAACAAATAAGACAGTTCAAAATCACAGGTGTGTATCTACTTTTATTATTGCAGTTGCGTCTGCTAAAAGAAAAACCGTAACTTATAGTTCAGATAAAGCTTTGAAACACGAACTATTTTACTCACGAAATTGTGATATATAATTCCGCTACAGGTTTCAAAAGCGAACATTTAAAGAGACCATCTAATCTGTTCGCAAATTCGCTCACGAAAACCGGTAAACTGCGGCGTAGTTGGGCGTAGTTAAAAACCAGCCCCTATCTAACAAAACGTTCCCTTGAGATTTAGGGGTTTAGAATGAATCTGACTTTATTTTCATTATGTATACCAGAATATGTTGCCCGGTTACGGTTAAAAATGTATTGACATCAAGCAATTATCGTGGCATATAAAGTTACGGAAAATGCTTCAGTTATTAAGTGAACCGAAAAAGCTTTGGAGAAAATTATTAAGCATTAACTTAATCCATTCGTCGATTTAACTACAGGTAATCTCTCTTGAATGGCTAAAGAAGCGCAACGTGCCAAGTTGCGTCGATTGCGTAAAGTGAAAATTTGTGGAGTTGCACGTGCCGAAAAGTCCTTTCTTACAAAATCAATAGGTGGACTTATTAAGCATTGACGATTCTCCTCGATTTGATGTAGATATGATAATTCAGAAACTGATAGTGCTTTGCGATGCAGTAAAAGTTCGTGGGTTCATCGAGTACGAAAAATGCAATTCTTAAGAACACTGTAAAGAATATGCTTTTCAAAAGTTAAAGCAGTTTTATCCTGCACTGTGGATATTGCGAATAAATTAGATAACACTTACAACTCTTCAAACTATAAATCAAATTTTATTAACATATTACTCTATGGAAAGACATATCCGGCTAAAAGCATACATCAAGCATTTCGTTCTAGTATTTATGTATGTAAAATAGCCATAACGCAAGGCTATACGTTATAATAAAGCATTGCTTACGCATGATTAATGATATTTTTAATATTTCGTTTGCATAATTTATTATAAATATACGATTATTGACTTTACATACGGCACCAATTAGTCTAATGCGTTTTATCATGTTCGGCGTCCATTTTTTTTTAATGAGTAAGCAAGTGACTGTCATCGCAAACTGTAACATTATTAATAATTAACATTAAATGTAAATCATTCATATTGTATATATGTAACATGGAGAAAAGAAAAATTAAATTAAAATTTATACAGTGACAAAGATGAGATAAGAACGATTTAACAAAGGAGTGAATGATGCCGTAAAGAATATATAAAAATAAAATAAGGTATTTCTCACAGTCTCAGAGAGAGATTTAATTCTGTAAAACCTGATGGTTGTGCGGATTACTTGTATGAAAATTTGGAATATCTTATACGCTAAGAAGAATCTTTCTAAGGATTAAAAAGTAAAGAAAACGTAAGATTGACTCAACTGTCGATTGAGAACCGCTTCTGCTTGTAGCAAAAAGTTAAACATAAGTGCATTGTCATGGAAAAAATGGTGCCTCATTTTTGCTTTTTGTTTAACCTATCGCACATATCTGAGAACTAGCGTAGGTTTACCGATTGACAACATCTTTTATGTTTCTAGCTGTGTAGTAATCAATTTATTTACACATTCCCTCATCAAATATTGAATTCTGCATCACAATCATCAACCGCAACCTCCCTACCAACTACTCCACTAATAGTGAACAATTGTAGGTCTTGCAATTCCTTTTCATGATATTCAAAAGATGCTTTGTTATCTGTAGGAAAATATTATGGAAGTTCCTGGTGACCTTATACGCAAGTGGTTGGAATGGTAGATACACATAACCTGAAAACTACAGGTAGACCATGAATTTTACTTTAACCCGCATGTATGGTGTATGCTAAAGTCATTAATATCCACACAAATTGCGCTTTATACGAGGAGCCCTGCGTGTAATTTTGAAATGTCTTCTTTTTGTGCGATCTTCACATTTTTTCATTGTCGCACAAAAACAAAAGTAGCGTATCGTGATTATTTGAAGGGCATAAGTGCGAAATAAAGAGATCAAGTTCTTCTATGATATAATCTAGAGTTAATGGTGCTTTCGTCACTTCAACAATTCTCGTTCATTTTCGAAGGGACCAATGCAAATGGAAAACCAAAGTATTTCAAAACCATTTCAGCGAATAATGCGACTTGGTTGTCGCTATTCAAATTGAAAACGCCTCGATTACCAGAAATTTGCTTCAGGCAGCAAAATTTTGATTTTTGCTTTCATGCTGACAGTCGGGAATAGTAATCTGAAGTGCTCAAAGTACGCATTAAAAGTATTTCTCGTAAAACTTTAGTTAAACGTATTGCTAATAATTTTATATTTCATAATTCCATTGGACGGGGAAACAAAGTGAAGCAAGTTCACGAAGTGAAGCATCTGCAGGCGAAGTGGTTAATGGCCGTAGCGATTCTCTTTCTCGTACCTGTCTCAACGACTACCCAATAATCGAATGCTTGTGCGTGGACTTCTTTTTCGACACTAGGATGCGATTGCTTATTGCTAAATATGAGAAACGGGGGAACAAGCTTAACTTAGTCCCATTGTCACGACTCTAGCGCACGAACAGCTATATCTGTTGCGTAAAACGAAATAAAAATGACTATTAATTATTTGCTTTCGTTACTCTTTCAAATTTCAAAACGTCATTTATAGCAAATCTTTCGAATCAATGAAAACATAAATCATAAAAAAGTGGCAAGTTCACCCGCGAAAAGTCGGTTTGCCTTTGAAGGTGCAGCCGCTTTGTTGAATGATTTGTGCGGCAGCCCAAATACCGCAATCTACGCAAACATCTAAAGGTTTCTTTATTATATACTGGGCCAGGAAGCCGCCTACAAATGCATCACCTGCTCCATTCGTATCTACAATTTGTTTGGGCGTCAATTTTTCAACGGGAAAGTCTTTAATGGAGTTGCCCTGAAAAAGTAGCACTGGTTGCGAACTTTGTGTGATGACAACAATACGTTCACGTTTATGATCTTCCCTCGGTAGAGATGCTATTCTTTGACCGATTTCTTCGACATCTTTAGTATCCCAATTATGCTCGCGGGCGAAAGTTTCCGCCTCCTCTTTATTGCCAAAAAGTACACACACATAAGGCATCACAGACATTAGAGGTTCTTTGAATTGTTGCGACACAAATGGAGCACTTAAGTTCATCATGAACGTGGCATTGTGCTTGAGCGCATGGCGAGCGACTTCCATTGCGCTCGGCAGACTGACGGTAAGGAAGAAACCTGATATATAAAAATATTTAACTTTCTGCAATAATTGACGATTTTCCGGCTTTTGTATATGCTCAAGCGTGAAGTGACTAGCCGCTGCAAGATACGCACACAAAGAGCGACTATCACCGGTAATCAGCACAACGCATGTACCGGTGGGGGCATTGTCGGTATACTGATAGCGTACATTTAGACCGTCCTCGGTTGCTCTTCTTTCTAAAATTTTTGCATAATTGTCCTTACCGACGCAACCAAAAATAGTGGCTATTTTTGGTTTTTGCAAAATCCACTGGCATACGCGTAAAGTGTTTTGTACTGAACCACCTGCTGTATATGTGGCACTAAACTTTTCGCGAATATCCTTATAAAGAGTTTTATGCTCCTGTCTGGCCAAAATTGCATCATTCCGTTTTAAATTGTATTTGCTCAATAAGTCGTTACTTACAGTGGCCACTATATCTAATAAAGGATTTCCAAATCCAATTAATAAATGTTCTCTTAACTTTCTCATTATTTAAATTTATTTATTTAATATTTTTGCACTTTTGTGGCTTTCGTGAAAAATATTTATTTACGCAGCTCTTGAATTAACAAAAATAAATGTCAGTGATTATTATCAAAACAGAAACTGACATATTATGAATTACATACTTCCTTAACATCATTTCCGAAAGTTGTTTTAGGTTCATTTAACATCATTACAGATTTGATCGTAAATTTTGTCCTAAAAATGATGATTACCAACCCAATGCCATTTTTCCACAGATGTATCAGTAAAGTTACTTTGAGGCCGAAAACTGACATTAAATATTGTGTTAAAAGAACACGAATATATTCTTTAGCGTTGTCCTACTAACATTTACGAGATTAGGCTTTCCCATATTATTTTATTTTCTCTCTAGGTGTCTACAAATTTACTCAAAATGCCTTTAATTTTCTAGAAAGAGCGCACAGTCTCTCATTGCCCTTTTTTCTCATGCTTTCTTTTATATAAAAGCTTTAGCATCCAAACTAATTGAAAAATGTGACGAATATGAACTTAAACGCTATAGCATTCGTTGTACGTAATGGTTAAAAAATGGTTACCTAACTACCCTTCACACCTAATTTTAAAATAAATTGATAAAATAAATTTTTGGATGTCAGTCAAATTTGTACAGCCCCCGAACGTATTAAAAAAGAAGGAAAAGGTTGCAATAATCAAGCTACTTCACATATCCTTCACTAATTCAATTAGTGTTAGTCTGTCTCTTTTCGGATAGCTTCAGTAAAGAGTAAGCAGTTGATATAAACAAGTAAGAAAATTATGTTCGGTTGCAACCGAAGCTTCTATACCCATTACCCTTATCCTATTTTTCTAGAACACATTTTGAAAAATTTACATCGTGTGTTTGTGTAGTGTACGAGTAGCAGACAGAGGACGGAAAGGTGTCTGCTTGTGCTAATTCAAATTCTTTTGCAAATTTATAAGCGATGTTTACTAAAGATTTTATACAGTTGGGCAGATGAACAGGTGAACACACGCACTTGCTTAGGTGCATTTCGAATTTAAAAAAGAAGATCGCTTAACACGGACATGTTAAAATCAATAGAGAATTTGATAATGATTAAAAATATATATACTTTGTGGGGCCTTTGAAGCTTCCTTCTGGGCGGTGCAAACGTTTTCGCAAAATGAATACGCCCACCAACCTACGGTGATTAGTATAAAAATAGTTTATACAATAGTTAAGAAACATTAACTACAGATTAAATGAACACAAGAAGGGACTTTCGGAGTGTAACTCCGAGCTGATGTTCAGTATTACGATGAAAAAAAATTGATAGATATACAGACATTACGCTTAAGTCTGTTCTTTATATTACGCCACATTTAATACCTTAGAATATCATATGAAAATTAATATAAAATTTCATGTTATATAATTAGATTATAATTATTATAACTTTTTTATCTATTTTCTATGTCACATAAGTTTTGAAAAGCGCAAACTTTTACGAAAATATGAATATTTACTGAACAAAATTTTATATTTTGTGTAAAAGCAAACTTTTCGAATGTTTCACATGCGGTCATAAAACTTTATAGCAGATATGTGTATATACAGCATATCGAAAAAATAATAGAGAATTTTAAATGAAAAAAAAATGTTGTTGTTTTCTGTACAAAAAATAGATGCCTTCCTCGTCAATGCAACGACCGCATTGGGTCAACGCATATGTAGACTTTTCTTTAGTCCTGATACACTGTATTTTTGATTATTTTCTTCTCACGTATATTTTTTTGCTTTTCTTATTGGAATCAGAATTTAATTCGCCTGAGATGTCTTGAAATAGACTTGCGAGTGCTGCTTATCATATCAAGGATCTTTCATTAAGAGTGATACTGCTTAAAATGTTCATTCCAGCTCTAAATGTATATTTTATATGTTTCCAATTTATGGTCTAGAATTCATTAAAAAAGGACGGGATTTTAGTTGGAAAATAATCTGCTTAGATCAGAGACATTTCTTTTATTAGTGGCTACGTCAACATGCAAAATTTTCGTTACTGGAGCGAGGGGAATATTAAAAATCAATTGAATTCACTCCAGAATCTACCATCAATGAGCAGAAATTAAGAATTGGGACGTACTCTAATATATGGCAATCCACAAACCAAATTTGCAAAACTCACTTTAATTGCTTACCCAAGTTGCTGAAAAAAAAAAAAAACAAGTCAAGCCATTATAGTTGGGTAAGAACGACCGTTGCATTTTTGACATGGCTTCAATTTGCCTCTTCCTTTATGTTGCTAACAAAATTGTAGAAATTATATTCAGCTTCCATATCAAAGCATAAGAGCATCTATATGGGAGCGGATATCCAAACATAAACTGACTTGATCGTAATTTTCTTCTTAATGTTTTTAATATTCTTAATCTGCTTTCGTCTAAAGGTGTTAAAAATTCCACTTTATTGGCACATAAAGGCCCACATTCAATGGGAACGCCTTTCCAGGGAGAAATTCAAAAATTTGATCTACGTAGTCCAGATTGGTGTCGGTTAGTCTTCATGTCAAATTGCTACCATGTAGCAGCTCTCAAGTTCAAGTGCCTAAAATTGAACCTTTTCCTCATATAAGGTCTTACTTTTCCTAAAAAAAATTTTTTCGAAAGCACGTTAACACATTATGTTTGCAACTTCATGGACTTTTGAAATCATTGTAACGTTTCTATTTTTTATTGGGATTCCACATTTCCAGCTATACTTATGCCTGCCGACGATATCTATATTCATTTACATTCAGGTTTATTTGTTTTAGTTTGTTAGGTGGTCTACGGTACCACAGATTCTCCATTTCGCAATGTACAGATAGTTCGATAAATGTACGCTCCTATCAAAGTTGTCAGCATGAATATTACACCATTTATAGAGTTATGCTGTCAATTAAAATTCCTTGTTTAACTAATTTTATTGGACTCCATATATTCTGGATTTTAGTCGATTACTGCATGTGAAGGCATTCTTTATTTGGAAAGAAATGAAAATTAACGGTTTTCGGCATGCACAAAAGCGTGCACACGGGAGCTGCGTGAAGTAAAACAAAAAGGGCAAGAAGGTGCATGCGGGAGTTTCGTGAAGTTTAACGAAATGCACAAAGATATGCACACGGTATTGGCTCATTGGGTAGGCTAACTGCGTAGCCCGAGGTAAAGGCATAACATTTACGTATCGGGCTCACACCTCCTTGCGCTGCGGTCACCCACCATCTTTTTCCGTCCACTTCTTTGTGACCATGACCATGTTAGATGTATGGGAGACATCCACAGAGCAACTAGCTTTAAAAACAACAGTTCAGGAATACTTGTCGAGAATTTTGCCAAAAATAATAATCTCTTTTATGAAGCATCTTTCACTGAGAGAGATACTTTTTAAAATTGTAAATTCTTCTTTCAAATGTGTTTTCCCGCGTGCCTCCCGATGTGCAACTATCCAGTGCAATTTGCAGTCCCATCATGCAGCGACTAACGTTTTCTGAATGTTTAGAAGTCATCAAAAAATTTGACCAAGGAGGCACCTCAATTATGGACTCTCATCGTTTCTTTAGCAAAGAATTGGCTCGCCAGCGCCACTTCTCTATCCAAGCGGCGGGGGGGAACGTGTGCTTTAACACCCGTGGACAACGGGCCTTTTGAAGGACTTTTTCGAAGTAAGATATTATGTATGAAGGGCCCGTAAAAATGCTCAACTTGGTTGAATGCCCCTAATAAATAATTTTGCTGAATTTTCGATCGATATTTTGACAGACTTGTTGAACGTTTTCGTTTTGTTAAAATCTCAAAAATATGCACTTAAAGTTATGATTAGTTTTTCAGGTGTTTAAGGACAAATATTAAGTGCTATAAGCAACGATTGTTTATATTTTGTTCAAAACTATATAACACCTTTCCCATAGCAAATACTGCGCTGTGACTTTTTCAATCAACTCATAATTTAAACCAAACATTGATATGTTTTGAGTTTATTTTCAACAACATAGGACATAACCAAAACTATTATGAAGTAAATTTAATTATCGAAATGTTTTGTGAAAAAAAATGTTACATGCCCTACATGTTGTTATAGAATATCATATAATTGGTGCTTTGTGCTTAATGCCTTTAATTTGTGGAAATTACATATGCAGAGAATACAAAATTCAGTTTTATATCAAAGGTTTCTAGACGATGTTTTCAGTCAACACTGGTTCGGGTATTTCACTGAAGCATTCTGTTAGTCGATATCGTATATGGTTTATGCCGCATTAATTAAGCAATATTTAGATGAAATTCATTTAATAATTTGATGACATTGATATATATAATATTTATACATTTCACATTTATACTGATATGAAACCATAGAAACCCAATTATGTTTAATTGTGAAACCATATTTAAAATGAACTGAAACACGTGCACAATATTCAGAAAATTTATGAAATATATTGAATATCCTTTCATTGATATTCATAATGTCGTGTTCATGTTGATGATGATGATGTTTTTTTGTTTTTTTTTTTTTATGTATAAACATTGAGGTAATCTAATCTACGAAAACATGTTCAAATGTTATTCGTTTACTCCGTGTATACAGCTACAAAATAACTCACTAACAATTTTATGAAGAATCTATTGAAACATTTAATTAGTTTCACAAATTTTTCTTTCTTTGAAAAAATTTTTGCAATGATTATCTAGGCATTTAACAAAGTGAAAATATGTCAAAAAAAGAATACGAAAAATAAATTTTGTATATGCGGCTATAATAAAATATGTCTCATATCCTTAAGACGTCAAAAACTGCTTGGAGACTGCCTACAAAAATTGTTTATTCGCGATCGAAGCCACAGCCATTCCGATCTCTCAGCGGAATATGAAACTTTAAAATATTCCTTGTTCTTACAATTGAAGTGTAGTTTTGTAAAATATTGAAAAATGCATTGCAATGCATGCAGATGCATTTTATAGATTCTCTTTTCAATTTTTCA